AGAGGGAGAGAGAGAGAGAGAGAGAGAGAGAGAGAGAGAAGGAAAGTGAGAAAGGAAGCCACCAGGTCCAGGGCTTGAACTATGGTCAGTCACATGGCAGTCCAGCACTTTAACCACCATGCCACCTGCTGGCCCCCTCAATGGTCATCTACATGATGCTTTCTTAGAAATAAAGAGAATACTCCTTGAGCAGACAGATGCAGCTGCTCTTGGATTTATGATGGGGTCAGTACCTCTTCTGTTGGAGGACAGGTCTGAGAAACTATCTGCTGTTTATATCGATTACAGTGAAATGGATAAGTATCAAGAGAAGACTTGCAGGGGAAGAAAATACCAAGAACCTCAAAGTCTGAGGGAGGGAAAGACAGGATATCCCATCATCCATTCTGGTGGGAGTCAGGTGTGGAACTGGTTCTCAGTGACCTTGGGTCTCTCAAGGAGCTTAAGACCATGCATGGGCACTGTGGAAGGCCTCCCATGCAGGAAGTTAAGGAGGGGCCTGGGCTAACTGACCCTCTTGTTCTGCCCAGAGTACATTTCCATGTAATTTCTGATGCATGGGTCTTATTGGGAGTCAGCGGAATTGAAGGGAGGACAGAGAATCAGACAAGTTCTCATTCTCTATGCACAACAGGGGAGGAGTGAGTTTTCCAGGGACCTGAAATGTATCTGTGACACACAAATTTACATTTCTAGCCATGTGGGGAATTTTTTTTTTTTTTGAGAGATTTTCACTGTAGGGCGCGTGCGCTAGCCAGACAGACAGAGAGAGACATAGAGACAGAAAGCGAGAAATCACCCCCCAGGGGGGATGGTCACGCCGTAATCCCTTCTCCTCCATTCTCCTCTTGGGATCTTGGGCACGCACGCACACGCGCCCGGCGTGAGTTTTAAGCCACCGGATCCGGGACACGAACCGCGGTTGACTACGTGGGAGTCCAGCGACATAGCCATTACGCTAACTGCTGGTTCCCCCCATGTGGGGAATTTTTTTAAATAAATATTTTGCTTCAGTGCTAGTTACAATGATACTAACCATAAAAATAAAAATAAAAAACCCCAAAAACCAAAAAAACATAGCATCACCCTTAATGCAGTATAGTTTTCTACTCTAGTGATTTCCTCAGGAACCAAAGACCCCTACACTGAATACTCCAAATTATTTTCCTTTAATTTGTTGTATCTTTGTATCTTTTAGATGACCAGTAGATATTCTTTACTCCTATCAGTGTTCTGATAGAGTTCAGAAAACTGTCAAGGTAGATCTGGGCTGTTAGATAACAAAAGAGGAAATAGTGTTTGGAAAGCCCAGAGTAGATACTACAGTAGGAATTCTTGCTGACTTTGAGTTCCAGAGAGTTCTGCAGGGTTACCTTTTCTGTCCTTGTTGGTCTGGTCTAGGCTGAGTCCTAGTCAAGACCTTCAATGCTAAGACAAAGACCTATACACCTTCACCCTTGCCTGCTCTGGGACAAACCCACTTACTTTCGCCATGCTGTGGCAAGCTAACTGGCAACCTTCACATGCACAGCTCCCATTCAGCTGTGATTTATGGTCATTATTACCCTCATGGCTCTCTTATTTATGATGCAGCTGTTGAGTTGGTGCTATGGCCAGAGAGGTGATAAGCCATATTCCAGAACTAGACTTACTACTCAGAGAGGGATCACTCAGGTGGAAAAAAAAGCTCAAGTGGAAAGTCACAGTGGCAGACTTTTCCCCTGACAGACTAGAGAGAGAAGGGAGCAGGAAAGTAATTGTCCTAGTCCATCCAAGCTGCTATAATAAAATACAGATGCTCCTCAACTTACAATGGAATTATGTCCACATAAACCCACTGTAAGGTGAAAATATCCTAAGTCAAAAATTTATTTGAATATAATATTTAATGCTTTGTGAAGCAAGTCAGACTGTGAAAGAGAAGCATTGTATGTCCCCACTTAATATATACCATCTGCACTCTATGTCAGAAACAGAAAGACTAGAGATATAAAGGCATGGAGAGCAACTGTGCTACTAGAGACAGAGTGGGAGGAGGGTGGGCAGTGGAGGACAGGAGGGAGGGAATCAAGAGGGGATAAAGCAAAACATTTAACAGACACAAAAGTGGAAAATTATCTGGTGATGATGTGTATTGTAATATTTTTGAATGGGATAATATGCAGTGTATTCATGCTGGGGAGATTTATTTTGTATACTGCGAAGATGTACAGTGATTAAATGTAAAAAAAAAAAAGAAAGAAAATTTAAAAAAGAATGCATTTGATATACTTAACCTACCAAATAGTATAGCTTAGTCTCCCTACCTTAAGTACTCAGATCACTTACATTAGCAGACAACTGGACAAAATCATCTAATATAAAGCCTGTTTTATAATAAAGTGTTGACTATCTCATGTAACATTGACTACTAGACTGAAAGTGAAGAACAGAATGGTTGTATGGTATTCAGAGTATGGTTTCTAATGAATATCTATCACTTTTGCATCATCTTAAGTCAAAAAATTAAGTCAAACCATTATAAGTCTTTAACATAAACTTGGTGGCTTATAAGCAACAGGAATTTATTCCTCACAGTTCTAGAGGTTGAGAAATCCAAGAGCAAGGCAGAGGAGTGTCTTGTGAAGGTCCACTTTCTGGTTCATAGGAGACACATTCTCACTGTGTCCTCTAATGGTAGAAGGGGCAAGCCAGCTTTCTGGAGTGTCTTCTACAATGGAACTAATCCCATTCATTAGGACTCTGCCCACATGACCTCATCTCATGACTAAAAACCATACCTCCTAATATCATTATCCTGGGGGATTTCAACATATGAATTTTGGGGAGACATAACCATTCAGTGCATTGTGGAAGTGGTTTCTAGAACTCAACTTTCTAGAGGTACTGCTTTTAGGAAAGTAAATTTTTGGGACCAGGAGTTAGCGTAATGGCTATGTCACTGGACTCCCATGTAGTTGACCGCGATTTGAGTCCCAGACCCAGTGGCTTAAGACTCACGCTGGGCGCATGTGCGTGTGTACCCAAGATCCTGAGAATGGAGGAGAAGGGATTGCGGCGTGACCATATCCCTTGGGGGTCATTTCTCTCTTTCTGTCTCTCTGGTCGGGTGAGAGAATATCCACGAAAAAAAAACCCAAAAAAAAAAAAAAAAAAAAGGAAAGTAAATTTTCTAGCAGTTTCACAATTAGTAAAACAAAAACAAAACTTCTTCTGCCTAAAACTGATGTTAAAATTCTACCATGCAGAGGGACCAGCAGTTAGCATAATGGCTATGTCGCTGGACTCCCATGTAGTCAACCGTGGTTTGCGTCCCAGACCCGGCAACTTAAAACTCATGCCAGGCGCATGTGCGTGCGTGCCCAAGATCTTGAGAGGAGAATGGAGGAGAAGGGATTGTGGCGTGGCCATCCCCCTGGGGGGGTGATTTTTCGCTTTCTGTCTCTCTGTCTCTCTCTGTCTGTCTGGTGAGTGCACGTGCCCTATGGCAAAAACTTCTTAAAAAAAATTCTACCATGCAGAGCCAACAGGGGGCATGGAAATTAAAGCTGCTGGATCCCACGTGGCCAACTGTGCAGTTCAAGTTTTGAACTCAGCAGCTTGAAAAACACTGGGCACATGTGTGCCCCAAATCTTGAAAGGAGGATGGAGGAGAAGGGATTGCAACATGGTCATTCCCCAGGGGGATAATTTTTTACTTTCCCTCTTGTATCTCTCTCTCCAGCAAGTGCATGTGCTTTTTAACAAAGTGGGAAAAAGAAGAGAGAGAAGATAAAAGAAAATCTCTACCATGCATCAGCTTCCTACTATGAGCAAACTCCTCCTCATAAATAAAAACGTGTCTCCTTGCTGCTGGGGATGACATTAGTGCTCCCTCTCTTCTCCCAGGCTACACGACAGTGACCCATGGCAGGCATACCCTTTTTTCCTACCCACACTACAAATTTCCCACCAAGTTGTATTACTCCATTCCCCCAGTGTCATTAGTATTTGTCCATCCTTACCATTGCCTTGTTCCAGGTTCAGGTCTCTGATGTTCCATCTCCCAGACCGTACCAGAGAGATTCTCCACACAGCTAATGGGCTCTCATCTCCCTTGCTCGTCACCAATGAGAAAAGCCCAGTTTCATTAGCATGTTGCCTTCAACCCTTCTTGATCATTCCTGCAATGTATTGCCAGTTATCAGCTAGAGGAACTTTCACCAGACTCCCAAGCAGACATTTGAGCTAGAAGATTTGGTTCTGAATACCATCTTCACCACCTACCAGCTCTGTGAACCAAAGTAAATGATGCAATATTTCTAAGACTGACTGATTTTCCCATCTCTAGAATGGGCACGATAATAATACTTAGCTTCAAAATTCACTACACTTTAATACTGTCTCTGTTTGGGAAGCAGAATTGGGAAAAGTATGAGAAGGGACTTATGAAATTCCATTTTTAAATGGTTGACTTCTTCAGTAAGAATATATATTACTTGTGCCAATAAAAGTGTTTGAGGGATTAAAAAAATAGTCTGGTAGACATTGTATAATACAGTGGTTCACAGCATAGATTCTGGAACCTGATTGGTTTAAATACAGCTCACCCACTTACTCACTGCGTGATTGTAGGCAAGTTACTTAACATTTCTGTGTCTACTCAACCATTTGTAAAATAGGAGTAACGATAATACTTTCCTGGCAAGGTTGTTGAAATAAGAAACATTCACAGAGCGTTTGAAATAGTGCTGGCACATAAATGCTGCATATGAGGCTGCTATTATAATAATAGATGGTGAAACACAGTAAATGAATCATACCTGCCTGGCGTTCTCTGTCACATTTCAGATATTCCACAGGCTGGCCGTGAGGAGTGAATGAGACACAATGAGTGGCACTAGCTCGTGCCGAGCACACAGTACCTGCTGGATAAGTGCTAGTTATCCTCCCTTTTGGTTTCTTTTCCTTGCAAGGCTCAGTTCAAGAACTTTACCTTAGTAAAGTCTTTCCTGACTCCTGGGCTGTCTGGGCCTCCCCCTTGCATGTGCCTGTATTAAGACCTAAGACCCTTGCAACTCTGCAGTGCCATTGCTGGTGTACTTCTGTTCTGCATCAGACTAAGAATTTGGAGGGCAAGGATTGTCTCAATTTATCCCTATATTTCTAGCACTTGGCACGGTATCTGGGAAACAGTAGGAGCTCAATATATGTTTGTTGTTCTTTGCATGAATAAATATGATCTCCACCTTTAAGCAGTTTATTATGTATTTAGGGGGGAAGCTATAAACATGCATGAGTTCAATCTCATTATAAAGTGAAAGACCTTATTTTCGACAGCGTCATGGGCACAAGGCACAGCTTATGCGGTGAATCAAGAACTGATGCTGAGGTTTCTGTGAGGCTTGGGGAACAGTCACCTAACCTCTCTGAGAGGAAGTTCCCTTAGCTGTGAGAGGTGAGGAAAACCATGCCAGGTGAAAATGCTTGGGAAACACATGGTGAGTGAGGATCAGCTTTGGTCAGATGTCAGTTGCAGAGAAACTCAGAGAAGAGAGAAATCTGTTTTGGCCTCTGTGGTTCCATAAGGAAGAGACAGCATTTGAGTTGAGCTTTGAGGGGGTGGGTAGAGATTAGGGAAATTGGGAAGAAGGCAGACTATTTCAGGCAGAATAATATCTTGAGATGAAGAAGTGTAAAGGAAATGAAGAAACAGATGGGGAAGAATTAAATTTCTTTACTTTTTTTATGTAAAAAAAAAAAAGAAAAGGAAAGGAAAGCCTCCTTGGCTTGTGAATTTTGGCATTTTATTTCATCTATTAGCTTTGAAGGAAAGAAGGGAAAACACTACCTGGAGGCCATAAAATGAAGTTGAGGGATAGAGAGGACTGCTCAAACCTGCAGAAAACTGCGATTTGAAAATCTGATAGTGAAATTATTATTATTATTAACAACAGCACATGATTCAGTTGAAAAATAAATAAACCCAAAACTCTAGGTCTAAGTGTAATGAAGCTAGGGACCGGACGGTTGGTGCAGTGGTAAAATGTGATGCTCCGCCAGCTGATCCGCGTGGGAAGGTGTTGGGTTTACATCTGGAGACCAGGGAGGTCTACTCCTGAGCATGTGTGTGCCGATGGTCTGGAGCTGGCTGAGGCTAGAGCTGGGTCATGGGATCAAGACCCTTTTGGGAGGTACTGTCTGTCTCTCTTCCTTAGGGAAGAAATAAATGAATAAACTTAAAAAGAGAGAGATAAGATAGATTAATAACCAAACATCTTACTGCTTTGAATTTGAACTTAATTGTTTAAATGCATTTTAATTTTCTAAATTAACGACTCAGTATAAAACGAGCTTTAAAAAAGTAAAACACTAGCAGCTTGTTTTCTCACTTGCCTTCTCTCTCTCTAGTGAGCACACGTGACCTATAACAAATTTTAAAACAATAACAATAATAATTTTTAAAATTAAATAAATAATTCTTTTTAAAAAAAAGTAAAAGACTAACACTTGGTTTGTATTCAGCCTTTAAGAAGTGAAAGTGGGACCAGCAGATGGCATAATGGTTATGTTGCTGGACTCCCACTATGGCAGATTGTGGTTTGAGTCCTGGACCCATGCATGCCCAAGATCCTGGGGACTGCATGTGCATGCATGTCCAAGATCCTGGGGATTGTGATGTGGCCATTCCCCTGTGTCATTTCTCACTTTCTTCCTGTTTCTTTGCCTCTCCAGTGAGTGCATATGCCCTATAGCAAAGATATCTCTCTCTCTAAAAAAGGAAGAATTGAAAGTGATATAAAAACATTTTTAATTGCTTACTTGCATTTCCTACTTTTTCTACAATGTGGCATTACTTGAGTAACTTATAAGAGTTCTAAAATAAAAACAAAAGCAAATAACAATAACCTCCAAAATTTTTGAGCCTGAATTCTTCCTTCTCTGGCTCCTTTGCCTCCTACATGGCAGTAGTCCCAAATGTAAGAACAAAAAGAAATGTTGATTGTAACTGCAGGTTCTCTAGTACCTATTTATATGTGTTTTTGCAACTTGTCTAAATTTTGTGATGCTGTAGAGCTGTACAGTAACAGTAAACTTAGTTACTTCCTCTTAGTTTAACCTTCAGTCAGTGCCAGGACTGAGTGCCAGAGATCCTGCTGTTAATAGATACTGCCCCCTAGTGGAAAATCCCATTCACATTTGGGACAGCTAATTCGGGCAGTGCACTTTCAGATCAGTCTGTAATGCAAGAGAGGTGAATCCCCTCCAATTTCAGACTGCTCTGTCAAACATGGTCAAGCGGCAGAATAATTCCCTCCACAGATGTTCGCATCCTGATGCCCAGAACCTATGACTATGTTACTGCACATGGCCAAAGGCACTTTGCAGATGCCATTAAGTTTAGGATATTGAAATGGGGAGTTGCTCTTGATTATCCAGGTGGGCCCAATGTAGGAGGAGGTAGGAAGGTCAGTGACAGAGATGTAAGGACCCAAACAGGGAGAGAGAAGCCGCTAATATGTTTGACTTTGAAGATGGAGGAAGGAACCATGAGCCAATGGACATAGACAGCTCCTTAAAGCGAGACAGAACCAGGTAAGAGATCCTCCATGAAACCTCTAGGAGGAATCCAGGCCTGCTGACACCTTAGTTTTAGCCCAGTGAGATCTATTTCAGAATTCTGACCTCCAGGGAATCAGCAGTTAGCGTAATGGCTATGTCGCTGGACTCCCACGTAGTAGACCGTGGTTTGTGTCCTGGACCCGGTGCCTTAGAACTCAAGCCGGGCGCGTGTGCGTGCATGCCCAAGATCCTGAGAGGAGAATGGAGGAGAAGGGATTGCAGTGTGACCATCTCCCCTGGGGCGTAATTTCTCGCTTTCTGCTTCTATGTCTCTCTCTGTCTGGCGAGCGCACGTGCCCTATAGCGAAAACCTCTCAAAAAAAAAAAAAAAAAAAGAATTTTGACCTCCAGAACTGTCAGATGTATGTGTATGTGTTTTAAATTTTTAAAAATGCATTTCTTCTGTGAGAAAGAGACAGCATTCCCAGCAGCTTCAGCCAGCCATGACCATGAGCATGTGCAAGGTGAGTGTGTACAGGGAGACCTTGGTACGCAACCTAGGACCTTCCTACGTAGGTCCAGTATTGCAGAGTGCTGTGTTCCTGCTGTGTCCCCATGGCTGGCCCCAAAGAATGCACTGTTTTAAGCCACTAGGTTAGTAGTAACTTGTTACAGCAACTACAGGAAATGATCATACTGGCATTGAGCAAAGGAAAAGCACCCGTAGGGCGTGCTGTTGAGAGTCAAGAAACCCTAACCCTGGCATTGCCGCTTTTGTGTTAATAACCCAGGAAGAACATAAAATGGATCCTTGAAAGTCATTATGAAATGCATGTAAAAGGAGGGAAATGTTACTCTCTCTGACCCAACAGGGGAGTCAACCGAGAGGCCTCCTTACGGTAGTGAACAGGGATGACACACATTGTTACCTGACTGAGAGGACTCGGACTCTCCAAGGTAGGGTGTTCTAGTCTGTTCTGTTTCTAATAAGAGAAAATAGCTGAGTCTGGCTAATTTAGGAGAACAGAGATTTATTCAACTCACAGTTTGCATGTCCACAGTCCAGGGGCCACATCTGGTAAGGATTTTCCTGTTGGTGGGGTCCTGAGGCCACGCAGGATGTCACATCCTGAGGGAATGAGAGCACATGATGGTGCGTTCATGTGTGTTTCTCTCTCTCACACCCACACCGGGAGTCAATCATATCTTATCTTATCTCTTAATCACTCTGCAAAGCCCCGCCTTTCAACACAATGAAGTTACTAAGCTTCCTCTTAATACCTTCACAGGCAAATATCAACACATGAGTTTGGGGGGACACGAAGCATAGCAGAGGGAAAGCTTTTTTTTTTTTACTTAAATACATTCTTCCCTGTTAGACAATAGATATGTTACATGTTCTAGGAAACTTAGAAAAACAGAATTGAAAATCACCCATAACTCAACCACACGGAAAACCACTGTTACAGCATTTTTCTTATCACTTTTTAGAATTTTTAAAATGAATGGTATAGTATTAAAAATTTTGAATCCTTTTAAATTTACTGTTCTATCTTGAGCCTTTACTATTATCACTAAAAATATTCTGAAAGCATTGCTTTTAATGATGACACAATATTGAACAGTTTTCATGGTCTAAAATTGACTTACAGTTGTGATGTTTTTGAGCACTTAAACTATTGGGTCGTTGGAAAAGTCTTGGCGCATTTTTGCATAGAAAAAAATATGTCACGACTCTTCTGATCACCCAATATGTGAGGTTTCCAGTATAATGAAGTCAATATTTTCGTGGAAAAGTCTTTAGCCATTCGATGGTTTCCTTAAGGTAGATAGCTATACAAAGATGGAGTAACTGGCTTAGAGGTTGCGGATAATTTCAAGGTCTGTGAAGCTTACTGAAAAATTATTTTCTATTAGGTTTGTACTAATTTCCTTTTGTATTAATAATATGCATGAGATACTTCAAAAAGTTCATGGAAAAATAGAAGTAACGTATACTTTTATTTTGGTGTAAAAGATTTTCGAAATCCATGCTTAGCTTTTTCATAATGTGCATTTCCAGGAACTTTTTTGAAGACCTTCTGTATATCACCTGGGAAGTCTGCATGTGCTATTAGATTGGTGACTTTCACATATATTTAAGTATAATTCACATTAAAGATATTTTATAACCACACACATGCACAAACTGAAACAAAGTTTCTCTTTCAGCAAAAGTGTGTTACTCTGGTGTTGTGTGCTCTGTGATCTCTTATTCTATTTTTTAGATGCTGATTTGGTTCATAAGTGGATTCAGGACCTACCACAAGTTCTACGTGGGACTGGACCCAGTGGAGTACAATCCATATGTGCATCTAGGAAGATGACAGAAACTATCCTTTTAAAAATATCTCAAGATCTGGGACCAGCAGATGGCATAATGGTTATATTGCTGGACTCCCACGTGGCCGACGTGGTTCAAGTCCTAGACCCATTGGCTTAAAACTCAGGCTGGGTGTGTGTGTGTGAGTGCCCAAAATCCCAAGAGGAGAACAGGAGAAAAGAGATTGTGGCGTGGCCATTCCCCTTGGGGTGGGAGGTATAATTTCTTGCTTTCTATCTCTCTGTCTCTCTGGTGAGCACACGTGCCCTATAGCAAAACTTCTGAAAAGACCCAAAAACTGAAGACTCAAATTTTCTGCGATTACATAAAACATGTTTGTCTGATGAGATGATCATAGCACTAGATAAGAAAAAAATCTGCATTTAACAGTTGACCAACCTTTAAAAATCTGAATGTAGCTCGGTCTCAATGCCTGAATACCATCCCCATTAGTTGTACAGTGTGGATGTTAATTCAAGAAATTCTCACAGGTACACACCTTGTGATTTCTAGCATTTAATAATGGAAGATGAAGTGGCAAAAACTGATCTTTAAAATTTTGAATTCTGTGAGATTTTGATGCAAGTTGCACCTTTGGTGTTATCAACGCTTTTGTATATCTGTGAGTTTTTCTAGTTAGGCTTTAAAAATAGGATTAGATTTCCCAGTTAACATCTGAGAAAGGGAAATGAACAAGTAGTGGGTTTTTAAAAATAGAGAATAGGACAAAGAAGGGAAACATTTTTAGACAGATATGAGATTAATTTTCTGGATTTAGATCTAAAAAAATTCCTTCTTATGTATTAAATGCTAACACTGTGATGAAATTCTTTTTAAAATTCTCCATCAAATATATTAAGTAGGGTCCTTAGTTCTAAATTATATGATAGATTAAACGACAAACATCTCATGAAATACATTTTTGATTAACATTCTTTTTTCCCCCCAACCTGGCAAATAAATGGAGAGCATTAGAAAGACAACAATGATCCCACAGATAAATGTCAAAGACTGTGATAAAGTGCCTAGAAAATTATATTACCTTTTATATACTTTTCCTTCAAGGAATCCAAAACACTTTTCAGACATCTTCTTCATTCATTTTCACAGTCCTTTAATGTAAGAAACAGACAAAGGAATCTTTTTATTTCCTTTTATTGCCAGAGAGCATGCACATTCATTAGAGAGAGGGAAACAAAAAGGGAAAGATAGAGAGAAAGCACCCCCATGGGGTGTGACCATGCCATAATCGTTTTCCCTCCAGTTCTCCATCTCTTCAGGATGTTGGGTATTTATACATATGTGTCAGGCATGTTTTTCAAGTCTTCTGGGACCAAAATTTGAACCAGTCAAGGGAGCCAGCCTTCTGTGCATAGCACGTAACTGCTGAGCTGTGGAACCAGCCATAGACAAAAGAGTCTTGTGTCCACTGTGTAGACAGATTTAGGGGTGAAAGACTGTAGCCAAAGGATTGCCCAGATTCAAGAGAAATCTGGACAAAAGCTTACCTACATTTTTACAGTCTTGAACATCAGCTCACATGGGCCCTCTGTCTTCAGTTAGAACACCCTCAAGGATTTGGGGTTCTGAGAACAAAGCGTACTTACTACCTATTTACGTGGTGACAGCAGGCTTCCAGGGGCTACCTCAAGTGCTTTCCAAATATCAGCTCACCTGATATTCATAACGACCCTGTGAAGTGGGTATTGTAAATTTCTGTTCTACCATTAAGGAAATGGAGGTGTTGAGATATTAATGACTTGCCAAGGTCACTAGTGAAATTGAACTTCACTAGGATTTTATGCTGTCTAATACTTCAGAACATATGTTTTTTTTGACATGAAATTTCTGTCAGAGAAAGAATTAAAAAGCCAGTGTATGCGTGTGAACACATGTTTATGCTCATAGACACATAGGAAGTAGATAGACATTCACAAACTCGGATACCAAAAGAAAGAAAATTATAACTTTATATTTACCAACTACGTCCATCCTGCTCAGGACCATCCCCCATCTTGTCCCTTCTGAAGTTTAACTCGGTATCTTCTACCATAGTTTCAAACTGTCAATTGGCAAATTGTGAATCCAAAGTTATGTTGCCTCTCAGGGCTGTATCTCCTCTCTCCTGGTATAGGTGCAGGTCCTCTGGGCTCCCCCTGCCAGCTATTAGGTGCCCTCAGCCTGAAGGTGCTGCGGGCCACCTCTAACCACAATTCTGAGGAGCAGTGGGTCCTTGCTGGAATGTTGGATGTGAGTCAGTGCTTCAGTCTTCAGCCATAAGGCCTTACATGCTCTCTGGCCTCCTCTTCTGATCTCAGCATTTTGTTGGTCTACGAGTGGTCTTAGCACTTCACCTACTGTGGCACCTGTGGGTCCTCCAGGAGCCCTGCATGGGGCATGTAGAATGTATTCTCCACTTGAATGAAGCTGGTCTCCTGCTTGCCTGCTCAGCCAAAATAGGACCGTGGGCCAGTGTGGGACTTCTCTGAGCGCCCTGTAGTCAGTCTCCACTGGCATAGAACCTGTGGTGTCTCAGTTTGCTCAAAACCTAAGATACGCTGCTTATGCCTCTTCTGGAAGTTTCCACCCCACAGGACAAGCCAGGACATTTGCATCTCGTCCTTTGCCCTCTCTCCTTTTCCTCTTTCAAATGTTCTCCCCTTATCCAAATTCTGCTCTTTTCTGTGACCCAGACTTTGCTTCTTCTTATTTAAAAGGAAGGTTTCTGAGTTTAGAAAATACCTTTGTCAGTCAACAAAGCTTTCAGGATTATGATCTTCATTATGGACTTCAATTCTGTTTGGAACGTAAAGCTGAGCTCTGATTCCTTTGATCTCAGGGGTGTCGCTTTTTCTCTGCAGCCAGGAAGGCCACTGCTTTACCAGGTGGAGAGGTGCTCAGCAGTCGTGCACCAGGAATGATAATAGCTTCCTTGATTCAAGTACCAGTACTCGAAGATAATGAGCCTTCTACTTAAGAAAAACTTAATTATAAACTACTTACAGGAGTAGATGCAGCTTATGGGTAAATATATCTGAGTGGGCTCTTTTTTTTTTTTTTGCCACAGACCACCATCACAGCCCTCCCTTGTCTTTTTTTACCACAATCTGTCCTTGACCCCCTTTAACAAAAATATTTTTGTAAAAAGTTGGTTGTTTATTTAAAATTCTTTGATTTCCTTTTACCTGTGGGATTCAGTTCTACGTCCTCCAGGATCTAGGCTACACCTGAAACTTCAGCTTTATCTGATGCCGCCCCCACAACCCTACTCTGTACCCCTTACCTCATGCCTCCTGTGCCCCAGCTGCAAAATGCCCAATTCCCTGCAGACCCCATTTGACCTCTTGCAGCCACGACAATCCCTTGCACGTGCTGCCAACCTTTGTTGAAGTCTTGTCATCTTGCGGCTTCCCTCTGACCTGTCACTTATCCTAAAAACCCAGCTCAAGTGGTATCATTCCTAGGGAAATTGCCTTTATAGACTCGACATAATATTTTAAAGTTTGTTTGTTTGTTGGGAAAGAGAAAGAGAAGAGCAGGACTCCCAAAGTGTCTTCAAACTCTGATCCACTCCTAGTCCTAGTTGGCCTAGATCGTGGGCTTGTGCACAGGCCTGGAACGCTCTGTGAGATCCTAGGATGCAAACCAGGATCTTTCTCCCATCGGCCCAGTTGCATCACTGCTGTGCCATGGCCTGGCCCTGGCCTTGACGTGTCACCTCTAGTATTTAGCAAGCTGTGTTCTACTTGTCTGCTTATCTTTAAAATACTTTATCCAGTCTGCACACCTTAAATACCATGATTTTACCAATTAAAATTCATTTCTAAACATGAATCATGCTAATCAATAAGTCACTAATTTCATCATTAAACAGCAATTTCTGGGCCAGCCTAGTGGTGAAGGGAGCCAGATCCCAAATGACTGTCTGCAATTTGAATCTTGGCCTTGGTGACTTGAAAAACAGGCTGGGTGTATATGTTCTTTTCCAGAATCCCAACAGGAAGGAGAAATGGAGAAGAGATTACAACAGGAACATGCTCCATTGAAGGGTGCTTTCTCCTTCTCCCTCCCTGTCGCTCTGGCAAGTACACACTCCTTCTGGCAAGTAAAAAAAAAGTAATTTCTGACATTCACTATTTTAATTACAAAGTATTGGTGGAAATACTGATATCAGAAATATTTGTTATGGCCATTCTGATGTAACTCTACCTGACCACTATTGGAATACTCACTCTTGACCAGGACAGCTGACATGTTGAACCAACTAGCGCATATGGGATCACGCCTGGTGTATAATGAATTGTTTAAGCAGTTTACAGGCACAGGAGAGAGCTTCTTGAGATACCAAGAACATCTGTTCCAAGGAGCTTCTCCTGCAATGTTGAAATCCCTACTCTAGAATGGACTTCCAGGTCAGCCTTGGGCTAAATATGACATAATTCCTTTTACCCACTCCGTTACCTCCATGCCACATTTTTCTACCTGGCCTTGAAGCAACATTTTCCATAGAGCTAGCCCTAGCCCCAGGAACATGTGTGTAAATTAGGAGGATATATCCCCTCCTCCAGGTGGATGCAACCAGGGCCAAGGCATTCACTCCATGGACAGAGTGTGAGCAGAATTGGGATGTTCACTCATGTCCTTGGCCAGGTGCCCTTACGAGGAGAGGAAGAAAGACCCAACTGTCCACGTAGAGACAAAAGCTCTTATAGAAACAGTTCCATTAGCCTTTACATTTGGCTCCTCATCTTCTGCAAGCAATCTTCCGAGTGCATCTTCTTCTTCAATGTGCACAGCCCCCTGCTAGTAAACGATGAAAAAGCAATCACTGGTCTTTATAGAAACAATCAGTAGTCAGGCAAATGCTAGTCTTCATTTACAGATCACCGAGAAAGATTGTGCTTCCTCCGTCTCGCTGTGCCCTCATTTCCTCCATTCCCTTGAAGAAAATGAAGTATTAGGTTGTTGGAAAAGTCATGATGTATTTTTCTGGTTTTCTATGCAAAATGCATCTTGACTTTTCTGACTACTCACTACAAGCTTCAAAGACAATTCAGCTTGCGATTATTTATATGATTAAATTAGAACATTAAAAATCAGCTTTGAGTCAATGAAACCATGTACCAGTTAGAATGTTTTCAGTAACAATGAATGGAAAAGGACTGGAAGGACTGCCACCACACAGAGAATATTTCACTTAACAAGAAGTCCTGGGGTAGGGTAGCAGCAGGGCTAGTTAAGCCAGTGGCTCAAATAGCAATATCAAGAACCTAGATTCCTTCTACCTTTCTACTTTGCCATCTTTGTCATATCAGCTTATCTGCCTCTCTGCTACAAAATGGCTGCCATGGCTCCAGATTTTACATACCGACATGACAATGTCTTCATAATAAGAGGAACTTTCTGTTTAATTGCATTTTTGCTCCCTTTGCCTCCTCTTACCACTTGCAGATTTCCCTTCCAGTTCTGTGCCCAAACTGTTCCATGCCCTGCACAAATTAGTTACTCACAAGAGAAGTGGGAGTAATGGAATTGGCTTTAAGCAATGTCACTGTTCACCTCTGGAGCTGGAGTGAGGAAAAAGAAAGAATTTTTGTCGGGAAAGAGAAAGGGAAGAGCAGGACTCCCAAAGTGTCTTCAAACTCTGATCCACTCCTAGTCCTAGTTGGCCTAGATCGTGGGCTTGTGCACAGGCCTGGAACGCTCTGTGAGATCCTAGGATGCAAACCAGGATCTTTCTCCCATCGGCCCAGTTGCATCACTGCTGTGCCATGGCCTGGCCCTGGCCTTGACGTGTCACCTCTAGTATTTAGCAAGCTGTGTTCTACTTGTCTGCTTATCTTTAAAATACTTTATCCAGTCTGCACACCTTAAATACCATGATTTTACCAATTAAAATTCATTTCTAAACATGAATCATGCTAATCAATAAGTCACTAATTTCATCATTAAACAGCAATTTCTGGGCCAGCCTAGTGGTGAAGGGAGCCAGATCCCAAATGACTGTCTGCAATTTGAATCTTGGCCTTGGTGACTTGAAAAACAGGCTGGGTGTATATGTTCTTTTCCAGAATCCCAACAGGAAGGAGAAATGGAGAAGAGATTACAACAGGAACATGCTCCATTGAAGGGTGTTTTCTCCTTCTCCCTCCTCAGCAATTTCTGGGCCAGCCTAGTGGTGAAGGGAGCCAGATCCCAAATGACTGTCTGCAATTTGAATCTTGGCCTTGGTGACTTGAAAAACAGGCTGGGTGTATATGTTCTTTTCCAGAATCCCAACAGGAAGGAGAAATGGAGAAGAGATTACAACAGGAACATGCTCCATTGAAGGGTGCTTTCTCCTTCTCCCTCCCTGTCGCTCTGGCAAGTACACACTCCTTCTGGCAAGTAAAAAAAAAGTAATTTCTGACATTCACTATTTTAATTACAAAGTATTGGTGGAAATACTGATATCAGAAATATTTGTTATGGCCATTCTGATGTAACTCTACCTGACCACTATTGGAATACTCACTCTTGACCAGGACAGCTGACATGTTGAACCAACTAGCGCATATGGGATCACGCCTGGTGTATAATGAATTGTTTAAGCAGTTTACAGGCACAGGAGAGAGCTTCTTGAGATACCAAGAACATCTGTTCCAAGGAGCTTCTCCTGCAATGTTGAAATCCCTACTCTAGAATGGACTTCCAGGTCAGCCTTGGGCTAAATATGACATAATTCCTTTTACCCACTCCGTTACCTCCATGCCACATTTTTCTACCTGGCCTTGAAGCAACATTTTCCATAGAGCTAGCCCTAGCCCCAGGAACATGTGTGTAAATTAGGAGGATATATCCCCTCCTCCAGGTGGATGCAACCAGGGCCAAGGCACTCACTCCATGGACAGAGTGTGAGCAGAATTGGGATGTTCACTCATGTCCTTGGCCAGGTGCCCTTACGAGGAGAGGAAGAAAGACCCAACTGTCCACGTAGAGACAAAAGCTCTTATAGAAACAGTTCCATTAGCCTTTACATTTGGCTCCTCATCTTCTGCAAGCAATCTTCCGAGTGCATCTTCTTCTTCAATGTGCACAGCCCCCTGCTAGTAAACGATGAAAAAGCAATCACTGGTCTTTATAGAAACAATCAGTAGTCAGGCAAATGCTAGTCTTCATTTACAGATCACCGAGAAAGATTGTGCTTCCTCCGTCTCGCTGTGCCCTCATTTCCTCCATTCCCTTGAAGAAAATGAAGTATTAGGTTGTTGGAAAAGTCATGATGTATTTTTCTGGTTTTCTATGCAAAATGCATCTTGACTTTTCTGACTACTCACTACAAGCTTCAAAGACAATTCAGCTTGCGATTATTTATATGATTAAATTAGAACATTAAAAATCAGCTTTGAGTCAATGAAACCATGTACCAGTTAGAATGTTTTCAGTAACAATGAATGGAAAAGGACTGGAAGGACTGCCACCACACAGAGAATATTTCACTTAACAAGAAGTCCTGGGGTAGGGTAGCAGCAGGGCTAGTTAAGCCAGTGGCTCAAATAGCAATATCAAGAACCTAGATTCCTTCTACCTTTCTACTTTGCCATCTTTGTCATATCAGCTTATCTGCCTCTCTGCTACAAAATGGCTGCCATGGCTCCAGATTTTACATACCGACATGACAATGTCTTCATAATAAGAGGAACTTTCTGTTTAATTGCATTTTTGCTCCCTTTGCCTCCTCTTACCACTTGCAGATTTCCCTTCCAGTTCTGTGCCCAAACTGTTCCATGCCCTGCACAAATTAGTTACTCACAAGAGAAGTGGGAGTAATGGAATTGGCTTTAAGCAATGTCACTGTTCACCTCTGGAGCTGGAGTGAGGAAAAAGAAAGAATTTTTGTCGCAATGTACAAGTGTGAGAAACACATGTTCAAGGAAGTGAATAAAGCTCAGACGGTTGGTGTGGAGCATGCACAGGGGGACGCAGGGACAGATCATGCTGCCATGAGGACTTGGCCTTTATCCCCTGGCACACCATAACCACTATTTGTGAAATAATCTTGAAACCAGAATCTTCGCTTCAAATTGCAGTTG